CATTTTATGTGTGTGTTTGCATTTACCTGGTCTGTTCCATCGGATTCCGTTGTATATCATCCCGTGTGGCGGTGATATATGAATGCTGACTACTAACTGCTCTGGTTGATGATGCTGTTGTTGTTGTTGGTACGACTATACCAAAGCAGTGATATTGGGATGTGCAAGTGCAGAGCGAAAGCGAGAGGAGTGGAAAGAGTGAGAGTGTAACATTTAGACATGTATTTATTTCATCTCATGACAGACATTTATCTTTTTGAAATTCGAGTGTTTGATGAAACAGATGATCGATATCATTCTTCACTGAAATCTTCTGTATGCCATCCATCGGATGTCCTCCATGCTCGTTGGCTGGTTGGTGACTGTGCTGTTGTTGTTGGTGATGGCAACGACGGCGGCGGCGGCGGTGGCTATACTACCCTGTGTATTGAATGAATTCGTTTACGTGTAAACGCAAAGTATTTGCTTATTCAGGAATATGGTATGTAGCTCTTATTATCCTAATCTTTTTCGCAAAATGTTTGTATTGACTTCTCCTTCTTCTGTGTCGTTCTTAAAAAAACAGCACACACACACACACACACACACACACACACTCATCGTTTCATTTGTTTGTTGGTTCGTTTTGGCACATATTCGATACAAACACGCGCTCGACTGCCACACATCTTGCTGACGTCGTTATCATCAACACACCACAGCCAGCAAATGTATTACGTTGGAATAGATATTTGCCAGGACCTGCAAACAGAATCTACCACACACTATATATTATGAGTGGAAGAGACGCGCTCACTGGCGGCTTTCATTCGATTTCATTCCATTTGTTTGATGCGCTCGCTGTGCCGTTCTTATTATTTTTATTCTTCTATTTGCACTTGTATATCATCCGTACATCTCGAGTGCGATGCAAATTGAATGTTATGTCAAAATGAAGAATACGAAATGAGAAGCTGAGAAGCAAAATGAGAGATGTGAAAAGCCTAAAACGAGCGAGCGAGCGAGCAAGCAAATAAGGGAGGAAGGATCGCACGTGGCTTCACATTCTGCACGCATGAATCAATGCCTGAATTCCAGTTATAATTTAAACGACTGTTTTCTTTTTTGGTTTCTGCTACTCCTTCTTTTTCATCATCATCAACATTGCCGCCGTCATCGTCATCAGCTCCACTGGCAGAACTAGTAAATTGAGAGGCTGTGGAAAAGATTGATTGTGTGTGGGACGGTTTGCCTATTTGAAACACAGCAAATTGAAACGGAACATCCAATCTAACAACACACACTTTGCCAATAGCGCGTAAATGTAGTCTCAATGTTGCAAATAATTTACTGATATTCATCACATTAGTGCTTGTCGTGTTCTCCAATCTTTACTCTTGGCATATATGTGTGTGTGCGGTGCGCGACGTTTTTCTTCTATTAGATGCTCTGTAACCGCGTAACTTTCTCTCTGAAATCGATTGCAAATTTTCTAATGCATAGACACCGACTAGATTCGATTGAGAGCGATTCGATTCAAAACGAAATGATTTCAAGGCACACTATAGTACACAAACAGACATGCAAAGAAATGGAGAGAGTTAGACATGGGCTATACAAGCCAATCTATGTACTCTCTTGCTCTATCTCTTTTTCGCTCGCTTATTCTAAATTATGAATGCAAACAAACGAAATCACCTATCCCATGAATGATATCGACAAATCGCATTCAAAATTACAAATATCACGCGTACAAACCATATAACATTCTGGCATTGAAGCATTGTGCCACAACGAAACACACACACAGAGAGAGAGAGAGATAGAGAGAGAGAGAGAGAGAGAGAGAGAGAGAGAGAGAGAGAGAGAGA